CAACCTACTTCCCTTTAATATTAAGTTATGGATAATGGAATAATTTACCCCGACCCGCCCTTATTTAGGGCATACGGGTAAATGTTTTTTTTTTACTTTACCCTGTAATAAAAAAAAAACCTTTGTGAAGGAACGCATAATGGAATAAAAAAAAATAAAAAAAAAAAAAAATGGCTGGAAAAAGGCTTAAATTTGAAGACCGCCTAACTCCCTTGAATATTAAGCTATAATTTTCAAAGTCGGACCGAAAGTAGTCCTCTATTTTCCGAACCAGCCTACTAAAGTAAAATTTTATAGATAGATTAGGGAGGTCGCAGTGATCCCTTAAGTCTTTTGTTTAGCTAATCGGGAGAGGGTAATTAGAGCAATGTAGTAGCACGAACTCCGTATAAGCTTAGTCCGACGGCTAAGACCGTGTGCTAGTAACCTACGATCGGAGCGAGGGGGGAACGGGTTCGATCCTCGGCTGCGGTCGAATATTTAAAAATTTTTTTCTTTTGATTATTTTACATTATATTATTTATTTAACGTGTTTTTTGATGTAATAAAGGATCCTATGTATAAAAAATATTTTTTTTTTTTGCTTGGGAAAGTTCAAATAATGCTTGAAAACTGGAAAAATCCCGGAAAAATAGTTTATTTAGATAATATTATTTTTTTTAAACTTGTTTTGCAATACTTTCACGTTAGTTTAGCATAAAAAGGAATTCTATGTGCAAAATCAATTCTCTTTCTTTGTGAAGGAACGCATAATGGAATGGGTTCGATCCTGGGCAGCGGTCAATTTTTAAAAATTTTTTTCCTTCGTTTATTTTGCATTATATTATTTATTTAACGTGTTTTTCGATGTAATAAAGGATCCTATGTATATAAAAAATACCTTTTTTTTGCTTGGGAAAGTTCAAATAATGCTTGAAAACTGGAAAAATCCCTTAAAATTAGTTTATTTATATAATAATATTTTTTTAAATTTGTTTTACAATACTTTCACATTAGTTTAGCATAAAAAGGTGTTCTATGTGTAAAATCAATTCTCTTTCTTTGTAAAGGAATGCATAATGGAATAAAAAATAAAAACTAAATAAAATGGCGGGAAAAAGGCTCAAATTTGAAGACCGCCTAACTCCCTTGAATATTAAGCTATAATTTTCAAAGCCTGACCGAAAGTAGGCCTCTATTTACCGAACCAGCCTACTAAAGTAAAATTTTATAGATAGATCAGGGAAGTCGCAGTGACCCCTTCAGTCTCTTGTTTAGCAAATCGGGAGAGGGTAATTAAAGCTATGTAGTAGCACGAACTCCGTATAAGCGTGGTCCAACGGCTAAGACCATGTGCTAATAACCTATGATCGGAGCGAGGGGGGACGGGTTCGATCCTCGGCTGCGGTGAATTTTTAAAATTTTTTTTCTTTCGTTTATTTTGCATTATATTATTTATTTAACGTGTTTTTCGATGTAATAAAGGATTCTATGTATAAAAAATATTTTTTTTTGTTTGGGAAAGTTCAAATAATGCTTGAAAACTGGAAAAATCCCGGAAAATTAGTTTATTTATATAATATTATTTTTTTAAAACTTGTTTTATAATACTTTCACGTTAGTTTAGCATAAAAAGATGTTCTATGTGTAAAATCAATTCTCTTTCTTTGTAAAGGAATGCATAATGGAATTAAAAATAATAAAAAAATAAAATGTCTGGAAAAAGGCTCAAATTTGAAGACCGCCTAACTCCCTTGAATATTAAGCTATAATTTTCAAAGTCTGACCGAAAGTAGGCCTCTATTTACCGAACCAGCCTACTAAAGTAAAATTTTATAGATAGATTAGGGAGGTCGCAGTGACCCCTTCAGTCTTTTGTTTAGCTAATCGTTAGAGGGTAATTAAAGCTATGTAGTAGCACAAACTCCGCATAAGCTTGGTCCGACGGCTAAGACCATGTGCTAGTGACTTACGATCGGAGCAAGGGGGGACGGGTTCGATCCACGGCCGCGGTCAATTTTTAAAATTTTTTTTCCTTTTGGTCATTTTTCATTATATTATTTATTTGACGTGTTTTTCAAAGTAATAAAGGATCCTATGTATAAAAAATATTTTTTTTTGTTTGGGAAAGTTCAAATAATGCTCGAAAACTGGAAAAATCCCGGAAAATTAGTTTATTTATATAATATTATTTTTTTAAAACTTGTTTTACAATACTTTCACGTTAGTTTAGCATAAAAAGGTGTTCAATGTGTAAAATCAATTCTCTTTCTTTGTGAAGGAACGCATAATGGAATAAAAATAAAATAAAATGGCGGGAAAAAGGCTCCAATTTGAAGACCGCCTAACTCCCTTGAATTTAAGCTATAATTTTCAAAGTCGGACCGAAAGTGGGCCTCTATTTACCGAACCAGTCTACTAAAGTAAAATTTTATAGATAGATTAGGGAGGTCGCAGTGACCCCTTAAGTCTTTTGTTTAGCAAATCGGGAGAGGGTAATTAAAGCTATGTAGTAGCACGAACTCCGTATAAGCGTGGTCCAACGGCTAAGACCATGTGCTAGTGACTTACGATCGGAGTGCGGGGGGGACGGGTTCGATCCTTGGCTGTCGTCAATTTTTAAAAATTCTTTTTCTTTGTTTATTTTGCATTATATTATTTATTTAACGTGTTTTTTAATGTAATAAAGGATCCTATGTATAAAAAATATATTTTTTTGCTTGGGAAAGTTCAAATAATGCTTGAAAACTGGAAAAATCCCGGAAAATTGGTTTATTTAGATAATAATATTTTTTTTAAACTTGTTTTGCAATACTTTCACGTTAGTTTAGCATTAAAAGGAGTTCTATGTGCAAAATCAATTCTCTTTCTTTGTGAAGGAACGCATAATGGAATAAAAAATAAAATAAGATAAAATGGACGGAATAAGGCTAAAATTTGAAGACCACCTAACTCCCTTGAATATTAAGCTATAATTTTTAAAGTCGGACCGAAAGTAGGCCTCTATTAACCGAACCAGACTACTTAAGAAAAATTTTATAGATAGATTAAGAAGGTCGCAGTGACCCCTTCAGTCTTTTGTTTAGCTAATCGTTAGAGGGTAATTAAAGCTATGTAGTAGCACGAACTCCATGTAAGCTTGGTCCAACGGCTACGACCATGTGCTAGTGACTTACGATCGGAGCGAGGGGGGACGGGTTCGATCCACGGCCGCGGTCAATTTTTAAATTTTTTTTTCCTTTTGGTCATTTTTCATTATATTATTTATTTAACGTGTTTTTCGATGTAATAAAGGATCCTATGTATAAAAAATATTTTTTTTTTGTTTGGGGAAAGTTCAAATAATGCTTGAAAACTGGAAAGATTCCGGAAAATTAGTTTATTTATATAATATTATGTTTTTTAAACTTGTTTTACAATACTTTCACGTTAGTTTAGCATAAAAAGGTGTTCTATGTTTAAAATCAATTCTCTTTTTTTGTGAAGGAACGCATAATGGAATAAAAAAAAAAATTTAAAAAAATGGCGGGAAAAAGGCTCAAATTTGAAGACCGCCTAACTCCCTTGAATATTAAGCTATAATTTTCAAAGTCGGACCCAAAATAGGCCTCTATTTACCGAACCAGACTACTAAAGTAAAATATTATAGATAGATTAGGGAGGTCGCAGTGACCCCTTAAGTCTATTGTTTAGCAAATCGGGAGAGGGTAATTAAAGCTATGTAGTAGCACGAACTCCGTATAAGCGTGGTCCAACGGCTAAGACCATGTGCTAGTGACTTACGATCGGAGTGCGGGGGGGACGGGTTCGATCCTCGGCTGCGGTCAAATTTTAGAAAAAAAATTTCTTTCGTTTATTTTACATTATATTATTTATTTAACGTGTTTTTCGATGTAATAAAGGATCCTATGTATAAAAAAATTTTTGTTTTTGTTTGGCAAAGTTCAAATAATGCTTGAAAACTGGAAAAATCCCAGAAAATTAGTTTATTCATATAATATTATTTTTTTTAAACTTGTTTTACAATACTTTCACGTTAGTTTAGCATAAAAATGTGTTCTATGTGTAAAATCAATTCTCTTTCTTTGTAAAGGAATGCATAATGGAATAAAAAATAAAAAATAAATAAAATGGTGGGAAAAAGGCTCAAATTTGAAGACCGCCAAACTCCCTTGAATATTAAGCTATAATTTTCAAACTCGGACCGAAAGTAGGCCTCTATGAACAGAACCACCCTACTAAAGTAAATTTTTATAGATAGATTAGGGAGATTGCAGTGACCCCTTACGTCTTTTGTTTATCTAATCGGGAGAGGGTAATTAAAGCTATGTAGTAGCATGAATGCTGTAAAAGCGTTTTCCAACGGCTAAGACCATGTGCTAGTGACTTACGATTGGAGCGAGGCGGGACGGGTTCGAACATCGGCTGTGGTCAATTGTTAATTTTTTTTTCTTTTGTTTATTTTACATTATATTATTTATTTAGCGTGTTTTTCGATGTATTAAAGTATCCTAGGTATAAAAAATATATTTTTGGTTCGGGAAAATTGAAATAATGCTTTAAAACTGGAAAAAACCCAGAAAATTAACTTGTTTAAATTATATTGTTTTTTTAAGCTTGTTTTACGATATTTTCACAACAGTTTAGCATAGCAAAAGTGTTCTATGTATTAAATCAATTGTTTTTCTTTGTAGAAGAACGCGGCTCTAGTGCGACGTAAAAGAACTACAACAACTTCTCTATAAGCGTGTGTTTTGTTTTATACCTTCCCTCAAGAAATAATCGTTTACCCAGGTTATGCTTCACATCTCTCCATTCGCGAATTTACCCTAAACAGTGAGAATGCCCCTTGAGGGTAAACAACTACATGGATTATTTACTTTAATATTAAAGAACTCATGTAACAGAAATAGAAAGTCATAAACGTCGTAATCAAAACAAGCAGAATAAAAATTGGGCAGAAAATTTAAATTTTTGTTTGTTTAAATAAGCTTCGAGAAATGAGATTAAAATTTTCTAATTTTGAAAGACTATGTAGAATGGACCTCATTGAGGAAATCCTTATCTTAGGAATTCCTTTAAAGAATATTAAGCATATGTATTATCTTTAAAGAACATTTATAACAGGTATGCTTTTGATGAAGCTATATGCTTGGTTAGTTTTATTTCCACCCACTAAATATTTAAATTAGTCATGGAACTAATATAAATGTTCAGTGGTTTGCCATGCTTATTGTATTTTCTACTATAAATCACATTTTGAAATCTTAATCGCAAATTGCATACTAGTAATTTTTATAATGAAATACAGTGATGTGAAGTATTAATACTCAAGCAAACTCTTTGATTCTATGTTATGTAGGTTTTATAATTCTGTATGAAACTTTAATAATGCAAATATAGTTATTTACGAAGAGAATTGTAAGAAAATTTAACTTTCTGTTATATAAAAAATTGTAATTAGTTTAAAGTCAAATATGTTTATGTACGAATGGATTGCTAAACAATTCTATTTGGTTTTTAGTATCACCCATTTAATTTAATTTGTTTCGGTTTTATTCATTTTTTTGTAATGTCCTGGAAAAAATAAGTTTTTTCCTGTAAATATTCCTAACTACCAAAGAAAAGCAAAATTTCTTGATAATCGGGAATAAAATTTTTTTACTATGTTTCCATTTTTCTCCAGAAGGACTCTCTTTCAGCTTGCCCTTTGATTTTTGAGCCCACACATTGTATGGTGAAAGTTTTTTTTTGTTTTGGAAAATTCTTTTTCCCTTAACTGTTGAAACCATTAGTTTTGTCACACCTTGTAACTACTAGCAGCTATGTAATTGATTTTGGTTGTATGAGCCAAATTTTTGATTTCTTTTAAATAAAACCTAGTTTTGTTTGCAGATATGAATAATTGAAGTTTATTATTTTTGTGAAATATGACTAATTTATGTGCCAATAATACTTCTTTAATGATACTACTTAAATTAAACATAGGTTGTTTATTTTTTAAAAAAATTGTTTAAAAAGATGTGTGTTATTGAGGTATGTTTCACCTTTTTATGGGGTTGACAGATTTGACCCTGACACTTAAATGGTCTCAACAGAGAATTAAACTTCCACTAATGATTTTATTTGTTTAACTGCAATAGCTTAGCGATTTTTGGGCATTTAATCTCTAAAAAAAATTGGCAAATCCACCATATAAATTCAAAATAAGTTTCAATCATTTTACTTACCTAAAATATGTAAAAGACATATATTACCAGCAGTAAGTTTGCAAACACGTTTTTTAAGCAACTCTCCCAAGAAAAAACATCATATTATGTAAACAAGGTATTTCTGAGAGCTGAAATAACTTCAGCTTATACTTTTCTCAAAAAAAAAAAAAAAAAAAAAGAGAAAGGAAAAAGCTGAAAATCCTTTTTGAAAATTGTACCATTACTGATGATCATAAAAAATAAAAGTAAGCAATTTTAAGGAGTAACACAATAGACTTCTTTATACAATCTTCCAAGTTTTGTATAAAAGGCTTGCAGATATAATAATTTAAAATTTTTGATATTTTCAAAACAGTTATTGTTTAAGAAGTATGTCGATGAATTTAAAATGTTGTGAGAAAGAAAGCAAGTTTTAAAAAACCAGCTATGTTTATTAGAACTCCTTAGACTGCACCAAAACTATTGCTGTTCAGAAATGAGATTTATCTATTTATATCTTATAACATCATATACAGGCTTGAGTTTTTGTATTTTGAAATAAAAAAGTTAATTTTTGCTGTAAATCATCTTTATAGGAAAAACAACAATTTGTTTAGTTTCTATGGACTTTTCTCCTTTTTTTTCTTAACATTCTAGTTGAAAACAATTAAATTACTAAAATCAACTCTTGAAAATTTCTAACATTTATGTACAGTGTTTATGTTTTGTAAATATATTTGATTTTAACGAATCTTTCTCATGGTCAACGGAAAAGAAAAGAATCCTAAATACTTTTTATATTTTCTTTTTGATATAGTATGCAAAGAAGCACAATATTTGTTCAATATATCTATACAAATAGTTCACAGCCAGTGGCACACAAATTTTTTTTCTTCTCTTTCTTCAATGCCCACCTGTGTTAACATTTTCGTCAATTCAGGCATTTACAGGGCAGAGATTAGTTGGCCTCTCTTTCAGGGGCACCATATTAGGTGAGCCAACGTTTGGCACACAAACATTTATTTCCGTTTTTCAATAAATATATTTATAATTTTTAAAATTAATGTTTATTTTGTTTTATCTATTTACCTATATTCTTAATATTTCAAATTAATTTTTTTATATGTTTTAATTTGTATATTTTTATAAAGAATTCTAAAAACTTTGAAAAATTTTTTTTAAAAGTTTTGAAATACTTTTCATAAAACTTTTTTTTAACTTTTTAGTACTTATTTGTTATTTCTTAATGTGATCTATTATGTCATTTCATTTTTAATATATAACTGTGTTTGTGTCAGTTTTTTCCCTTTTAATATTATGAAATGAAAAAAAGCTATTGTAATTTTCTTTTATTATACATATTCACCTCAAATTTTGCACTTTTAATTGGTCTCACACATAAGGGAAAACTGTTCTTTTCTAATCAGTTAGATGTAGAATTTTTCTCAAGTTTTTCTTAAATTTATTTTTCTATTTCGATCCTTATGAAACATACACTTAATTGTAAAACTTATACTTAGCATTTTAATTTTATTTATTTACTTTTAGTTTTTCATTTTTTGATATTCTTAATGCATATCATTATTATTAAAAAGATTTTATTTTTCATATATTATGCACACACAAAGCCACCAGAACAACATATCATAATGGTCCCACTCTCTTTCTTTTTGTTAACCAGCACAAAACTTGTGTGAATAACCCAGAAAACCTTTCTGTGGCCTTAAACTGAATAGCACATTTAAATTCAGTGCCACATAATGTAATAAAATTTTTGTTTGATATTAAGATTTTATGCTACACACGGTGCCATCTCCTTATTAGTGTGCAAAAAATTAATCATTAAATCTTAAGTTATTCAGTTTTTTATTTATTTTTTGTAAATGTTTTTCTTATTTGCAGTTACCTGAAAAACTGTATATTTTTTCAGACTACTAGCTTTCAGGATTTGGGTATTAAGTCTTTTTTTTTCTTCTTATCTAAGTGCATTAATATGTGGATCCATGCGCACATTTTATGCAACTCCCAACACTGTTTCTTCTAGATTAACAATTTTTTAGTATGAGTGATGAATAAAAATGTCATGATGAATAAAAAGCGAAAGAATTCACAATTATTATCACAAAATTATAGTTTGTATTTTAAAAAGTAAAATAAAAATCACCTAAAATTTCCTAGAGTTAAAAAATTTATTGTAAGACATCACACATAGTCAAATTGTTGTTTTTACGTTAAAGTTCATTAATATTTTTAATCGTTAAATTGTTACATTAATAACTGTTTTAATAATATGCCAATTTATTCTAAATTAAAACTTGCAAGCCATTTTTCAATAATAAAAATAATAAATTTTAAGGTGTGTTCATCAATAATTTCTACAGGAAGTTGTAACTAACTTTCTAGAAAATTTTTATGAATATCTTTACGAAATCTTATGTTCCAATTTGAACTTTGTTTTATAGTATTTGTGGCAATAATACTTTTTTATGCTAATATGCTTGATTTGATACTATATCAATATTCTCAAAGCAATTAATATTGCACCTTAGTATGTGAAAATCTGTTCACCAGATTAACAATTATTCACAGTGTTCTTTTTATGCATTCTCCATAGTCTTTATGCTAATATATTCTTTTGCTGAATTGTTACTAAATTGTTAGTATAAATTTTTTACAGACTTATTCTGAAGCTTTGTGTGATTTTTGGAAAAATTTGTTTAAGCTAAATGAAAGAAGAAAAGAAAACAACATAGTTGTTCATTCTAATCCAGTTAACAAAGGTATTAATTCTTTTATTATTTTAAATATTATAAAGGGAGAGTAGGGGGAAAGTGGGTACCTTGATTGTGTCAAAATTAATTCTGTTTTTCAGTGGCCAAACTCTGAATTGCACTTCACTAGTCAAAAAGATGCACCTATCATATTGTTGGGGATTAATTCAATGCATCTGTGTAGATAAGCTTTTTTTTCCGTATCAACTTTAATGTTCTTTTGTTTTTAAATTTAGCCTTATGACAATTATAAAATTATTTTTAGTTCAGCTTAATATACGTTTACCAATAATTCATAACAAACAATAAGGTTCATTAGCATACCCTCCAACTGCTACGGAATTTCCGTAGTTTCAGAAATCTTCTTTTCAGACGGTAGCAAAATATTCAAGCTTAATATTCAAAAAAAATTAATTTTAGCGTAACTTGTCCACTATTACTTATAAAAGTGCATGCCACATGGCTCGACTCTTAAGTTCTGATAAAAGTTTTATGAGAGATCCATTTGCTTTAAAAATTTCTACTTTGGTTCGCTACCACTAGAAAGAATTATTTTCAAAATCCTCATAAGTTGGAGGGTATGCATTAGTATCACTGTTCAGTATAACCTCTACTCTTGGGGTTAGACAGGGTAACACCCGATCTTTCCCCTTGATGTGTGTCTACTCTGAGCCCACGAAAGCTACAAAACACTGAAGGATGAAAATAACTGCATTCAAGATTGAACAAAAGTTTCATGGAACAAAGTTTATTGCTTCTTCCAAGCAAAAAAACCTTATTTTCATATTTTGAGTAGTTTTTGAAGACAGCAGAATTGTAGTTTATACTTTGATATAAAAATTCTCTGCAATTTTCTTTTAAAAAAATGCTATAGTTTTCGTAATGAATTTTGGTCAGGCCCCCAGATGTTTGGTCAGTCCTCTCCCTTGAGTACAGTCTTGACTACATCACATGTAAATTGCTTGCATAATTTCCCTAAATTTCCTTATAAAATGGAAATGTCTGCTACTTTTTTCTTGAAATTCTAGTATTTCTAAATTTTCTATAGAGTTAGCATTTATTCCTGGTCTTGCCCCACTAATGGGGTAAGACCGGGTGATTCAACTTTTTCTAGAAAAAATCATATATAACGGAAGTTGTACATGTGTGACTTTTCATGACTGTTATCTTGTACAAAACTAAACAATGGATATCTGACAGTTTCTATGTTGAGCAGATCAGCTCCAACACCCTTTAAATCTTAGCTAAACGATCTTTCCCTACTTTTCCCTATATCTGAGAATGAAAGACTATGATATTGAACTAAATTTATGTATTATTTTTTTAATTATCCTTTTTTTAATAAACTTTTATAATTTAATGATATCTTACTGCCATGTATATTTTTTTCCATAAAATTATAATTCTCTATTTAGGTTGTGTTTTGTGGATAAATTTACAAATTAGATCACTGAAATGTAGCATCGCAAAATCACTTATGTATGATCTTTTGTGATGACTACTTGTTGTCATTCTATAATCTATAAAACAAAGATGGCAAATCTACGGCACTCGTGCCACTAGGTGTTCAGATGTAATGGTGGCACACAACAAGTATACTATAACTTGCTTTATTTACTTACATTTACTGCAAAACGTTTTAAAAAAATCTCTAAGACTGGCAACAGCAAAGGTAGATTCAGAACCGAGTACCATTGTGTGCAGAAGTTAATATGCAGTTATTTTATGATCCTTTGTCTATTTTAACTAGAATTCTTGAAATTTATATCTGAATGTGCTTTAAAAAATCACAACTTCTCTGAGTTGTTACAGGAAATAAAATCTCAATAGGACAAACTTTTTATGTTGTATACAAATTCTTCTCAAATTTGAGGAACTTTTAGATGAAATTTGATTTTTCATACCATAAAAAGAATTTACTTAATTTATGGGTTCAATTTAACTGTGTGATTTCATGTTCTTTTTTACATATGCAGCACTATCAACTGATTTAACTTAGGAATTGCAAAGAAAAGTTTAAACTGAAAATATATTGTTTGAGATCCCTGAAGTGCAAACTTGATATATATTCCTTAAAGGAATAGCGAGTTTCTCTGATTTATCTTCTAAAGGGGGAAAAATATTTTTAAGAGCTGTTTGGATGTTACAAAATTCAGATGAAATATTATCAATTATGCTATTTTCTCTATTTTGTAAATTTTAGAAAACATGAAAGTTTTGTTTTAAGATCTCCCTTTGCTAAAATGAATGATCATAAAATGTAACTTTTTTTAGTGGTTTGATATTTTGGAAAGGAATCTGACAGAATGATCTTGGTAAAGCTTTAGAAGAACTTAAGAATGCAGATTTGAAGAATTGAACACAAAAAATCTGGTAATTTAATCCTTAGAAAATTGAATATTTTAATACTTGTTTTTAATGTGATATTATATATTTATTTATAATGTAATATAAACGCAATTTGAAAAGTAATAAGTGCATTAAGAAGGCATCTTAAATTGAACAAAATTTTTTTAGAAACTGAAAGAAAATAAATTTAGATTAAAATAATATTTTCAGTTGTAATGATGCATTTAATTTTCCATGCTATAAAAAATTAAAAACTTTAAACATTAACTATTTTTTTCGCTTACAACGGTCTTCTTCAGTGCAATTTAAAAATCTTAATATCAAATTGAAATATTTTCAGAGAAATTTATTCAACTTATATCTGATACAAGTTAATTCTACAACAGAAAATTTAGTAATAAAACATAATTTGATAGTTTAAAATCAGAGTAAGGGTTTAAATATGAGTTTTAAAATGAAATACAATTTGTGGTATACTGGATACTTAAAAATAACAAACCAGAAACATAGTTTCATTGGTAAGAAAAAGGTTCATCATCCATGTTGTTTATAGCTTAATAAATTATGAAATCTGATTTTCATGGACCACTTTTGAAATGACCTTAACTCTATTGTTGAGATTTAAAAGCATTTAAGTTCTAGCAAAAACTTTTAACCATTCATTTTATGAATTTATAATTTTTCATGAAAATTTCTTATTTGAAATTTTGATTAAAGGATTTAAAATAAGGAAGTTCAATAATTGCAGAAACTCTTTATTATTATTTAATAACAAATGTGTAGTATATTGCACATTTGCAACATCATGAGTATGCTAAACATATTCTGTGGAATCCAATTTGCATGAAAACTATGGAAGCAGCTCTTATTCTTTGTGAGGTAAAACCCACATTTAAAATTCCTAATTGAGACCCGAAGACCATATATTGGACACTAGATGAACATTTTCAAATTCAAGAGGATTGATTCAAACAGGATACATTATGAACATATTGTTATAAATTTACAACTGCATAAAATGAAGGGTTGAAAACTTTAAAATGCTTTCAAATATAATTAAAATAAGTTATGTTAGGCCAGAAACTGTAATTGCCTTATAACTACTAGATAATAATTCAATTTTCTACTGATAGGGACAGCTTTTTCTTCTATCTTACATCAAATATGCTGCAATTTATTGTTAACTAACTGATCAGTCAAGATCAGGACATACTTCCTTTTATTCTATTGAAAGTAGAATTTCTTAAAATTTTTGAATTATCATTGATAAAAGTAAGGTTAATCTAGAGGGTCAGATTCAATAGCCGTTTCAGCATTCTTGCTCATAATTCAGACGATGAAAAAAAATTTTGAAGATATTTTGAAATTGTAGGTTTGATGAAAAAATCCTTCTATCACAAATGTTGAAGCATGTTTCAAAAGGACAGAAATTATTCTATTTCTCTTGAAGATGACGTTGATGAGAACAAGTAAATGAGACATAAATACAATAAGCAGAATTTTCTTTAACAGCTGCAACTACTTGGAATCTCCCTGTATATTAACCCTGTAAAGAAAGTATAGTTATGAAAAAAGTTTTTTTTACAAGAAGAAATCCAAAAATCCTATCTAAAAGTTTATGAAAAATATCCATTTAGATTTTTTATGTACATATAATTTTTTATGTAGTAGATAAGCACATTTTGTCAATCTTCTTTGTTTATGGTGCCTTGGGCTTCTTTAAGTTATGCATTTGGCAATCTCTGATAATAAATCCAAAACTTTCTCAATAAATTGTTTAAAAATTATTCTTACATTAAAAATATTTTCTTGCATACAAATTACTAATCTTTTAAAATTGTAATCTTGTTCCCAAACTGTTGAGCTGTAATGTATCTTAATTTTAAGTGAACTGATTGTTCATATTTTAGTGTTTTATCTACAAAGTGCTTACGAAATTCAATTTTTAAACTCTATTAATTTACTATTTGTATATGAGCCCTGCTAATGTGTCTGGAATATATTTATGCTTTGAAATTAAATCGAGTGTATACCTGATAGCTCTTACTTTCATAAAACTAATATAGTCATATTTGCTTTTTGTAGTAATGATCTTGATGACTTTTTT